ATGGTGACTAAAGTGACATGTGCATGCTTCGAGCCTAGTCTTGATTATGTAGTCGTTAAGATTCCACGATGGGATCTTAAAAAGTTCTCACGTGTAAATAAGTCTTTGAGTTCATCAATGAAATCTGTCGGTGAGGTTATGAGCATTGGGCGTACTTTTGAAGAGACCATTCAGAAAGCCATCAGGGCTATTGACTACGGTTTCTCAGGATTTGGTCAGGTTTGCAGATTTATATTAAGATTTAAAATTGATGATAAATACAAAATAAAGGACTTATTTTCGCTTGATTTTTGATGTTTAATAAGAATGACCTTGTTGACTCTATAAAAGAGGAATTAATCAACCCGTCCGACCAACGGCTTTTTGCCATCGCCAATGCAATGCATCAAGGTTATACTGTTGACCAAATATGGGAGCTCACAAAAATAGACAAATGGTTTTTACACAGGCTAAGAAACATAATTGAATTAGAAAAACAGCTTAAACAATATAATTATTCAACAATTAAACCTGATCTTGTCCTAATGGCCAAGCAATTAGGTTTTTCCGATCGCCATATAGCAAAAGTTATTAGCAGTAATGAGTTGTCAATACGGAGGATGAGACATGAACATGGCATAATACCTTTTGTAAAGCAAATTGATACTGGTAAATGGCAATTATTTATTTACTCTTTAAGTCTTTTTTTTTTTTTTTTTTTTTGAATATCAATTTATATGATTTCTCTAGTTGCTGCCGAATTTCCCGCACAAACGAATTATTTATATGTAACTTATAACGCCGTGGAGCATGATATTTCTTTTGAAGAGAAAGGTGTTATGGTACTAGGGTCCGGTGTTTATCGTATTGGCAGTTCGGTTGAGTTTGATTGGTGTGCTGTGCGCGCAATTCGTACTCTTCGTGATCGTGGCATTAAAACGGTGATGGTTAACTATAATCCAGAAACAGTCAGCACAGATTATGATGAAGCTGATCGTTTGTATTTTGAAAATATCACTTTAGAGCGTGTATTAGACATTTATGAAATTGAAAGTTCTTGTGGTGTGATAATTTCTATGGGTGGCCAAACTCCAAACAACATAGCATTACCATTGTTTCGCCAAAATGTTCAGATACTTGGTACTTCTCCGGAAATGATTGACACTGCTGAAAATCGATATAAATTTTCTCGTATGTTGGATCAGATCGGGGTCGACCAACCGAGATGGAAAGAGTTAACGAGTCATGAAGAAGCGCATGAATTCTGTAAGCAGGTTCAATTTCCAGTTTTGGTACGACCATCATATGTATTATCAGGTGCTGCAATGAATGTAGTGTATTCCTCGGATGATCTTTCCAATTATCTTAGTCAAGCTACGGCAGTTTCTAGAGAACATCCAGTTGTAATTTCAAAATATATTGAAGAAGCTAAGGAAATTGAAATGGATGCTGTGGCTCTTGATGGTAAGCT